ATACTTTTGTGTCAAAGTAACATCCACAACATTCGAGCAAACTAATTGAATGATGATTTTTCTCAATATCATGAGTGTCCCGCAATTCTTAAATAAGCCTATAATTTACCTAAAAAAAGTTGTTACTCGTTTCACTAGTTCAAATGCTTTTTTGAATAATTTTGATGTAGCGCAACCTGCCGAAAATTTTCGGAAAACTGTAGACATGGCTAATTTTACAAACTCGTTCAGAAATCCTTTTAAAAAAAGAAATCTTGTTACTTTGGCGTAAAATTCAGCTGTTTCTCATAAATGAGAGATTTGAGCAAAAAGTGAATCAACACAGCAACAAAGAATGCATCAAATAACAACAAACACCTTGAGTCCTTCTGCTTACCGTGGAAGAGGGCGAAATTCAAGTGTGGCAGCTCAAGAATTTCGATATGAAAATCTAGGAAGCTTATGAATGATTTGTTTTGATATAAGCTCCTAATCGCTCACGATGATAGTGATGGTTCATTTGCTTTGAAACCATGTCATACGAAGGTTAGCCACCATCTTCTAATTCGCGCATATAGTATACGCATATAGTACTAAATATATTTTTACGTCTATCGCCTATCTCAGTCTATTTGCAATAAAAGAACTTCAATCACACTCTAGTATATTTTAGGCCTGGCTTACCCGATGGGATACAGCGCCGCTTTATTTAGTACATTGGTGGTGGGCATTGGAGTTTATCTGGTGGTATATTTTATGGCTGTAGCTGCTAATGTGCGTAACACTTGGGAAATAGTTTTTTTGATCATAGACGTTCAAGTCTATGTTAAGGCAGTATTAGATGTAGGAGATGCCATCGTTCCTTGCTCAGAAGTTATAAAAAGTGTGCAGCCTACTACATGGTATGCGGTTCCAGTGGCAGTTGTGTCATCATTGTTCCGGATTACAGAAGATGAAGTAGGAATTTTTCTGACATTTTTCGCTTGAGGCGAAGTTGGGTGAAACTGTAAATTTATGATTTTATCTTTCTGAAATAGTAAGAACTGCGTAGAGAGAGGAAGGAGGAAGTTGCGAGCGTTTTTTGAGTTCTATTCCTCATCTAAATCACTAAGCCTGCAGATTTTTTTGAAGCGCTTTGAGCTTAATCAGAGGGGCCTTTTTGCCTTATTTAAAGGAAACGAGCGAGAAGTAGTGAAGATAGCGAAAAGTAGCGAGCTTCGAGGACTACCGCTCCCCGCCCGGAGTCAATTAATAAGTCTGCAGTATCTTG